TGGCACAAGGATATATCTCTGGAGTTCCCAATGAAGATCAAAGTTATAACAAAATGTTTACAGGACCAGTGTGTGAACCCTGGCAAAACTGTCCATAACAACTAAGTGTATAATGGTAGATATTTTTATGAGTCTAAATTTTATGCATCTGTGTGAGTATATGTATACCTAAATGCATAATTGTGTGTGTGTGTGTGTGTGTGTGTGTGGGTGGGTGTGTGTTGTTTACTAATGTTCACCCAATACAAGGCCCAAGAGCCACTCAAGGTAGAGGATTATGGAATGTGGTGCTTGTATGAATGTAAGAGGAAGAGGTAAAAAGTGCAGATTATGAAAATATGTACAAAAGATTAACAGCTAAAACTAGATTTGGAAAAGTTAAGATTATAGTAATCAGGGAAGCATCCTCTCAGGTTTATTCCACAAAATAGTGATTCTTAGGAAACGGCTGGTCAAATGGAACATTCTTCTTCTAATGTAATACGAAGGGAGTGGGGATGATTTGTTTTAGTGTAAGTATAATGTGCATTTGAATAAAAACATATATATACAGTGTGTAGTGAAATTAATGCCATTTTTTGACTTATTAAATTTTATTGAACAAGAATAAATTACAGTAGTTTAAGAAAATTTACAAATATTTTCATATCAAAACAATTTGTTATGATTAACAAACTATGTTCAAAATGCTCCTTTTCATATTTAATACAATACTGAATCCTATCAGTAACACTTCTACAAAGCATTTGATACATTTCTACATTAATTTCAGAAATCTATCAGCAACAATTCTACAAAGCATTTGATACATTTCTACATTAATTTCAGAAATCTATCAGAAACTGTCTTTGGTTTGAGCTTGTAAACAAAATCTTTCAGTACACCTCACAAGAAAAAGTCTGGTGGTGTTAGGTCTGGTGATCATGATGGCTACACAATTGCTCTACATCAAGGGTTATTACTTTTGCTACAACCTATAGATGAAAGAAAAGATGTTTGAAAAATTAGAAAAAAACTTCTTCCAATTCATCTTTTCTTTTAACACTGTTCTTGATATATAAAAATTTATATATCATTATCCCATATATATATATATATATATATATATATATATATGAAGAAGTATAGTTTTAAGGTATGCTATAATTATGGGCTAAAGTGCTCAATATCAGAGATAGAATGTATCTAAATATAAAAGTGAACATTGAGGTCAACCCTCAGAGATGACACACTGTTACATGCTAAATGCAATCATTAGGCCTGAAACAGTCTGTTGCCTCTGAGTGTTGACTTCAATGTTCATTTTATTTATATATATATATATATATATATATATATATATATATATATATATATATAAAATATTAGTGGTCAATGTGTGTATATATATATATATATATATATATATATATATATATATATATATATAATTTTTAAGCAATTAATTATTTTTTAATCTGGCATTATTTCTTATTACTGTAAAAGTTATATTCAGTAGGTACACATGTTTGAGCAGACATACTTGCTTTTTTGTTTGTTTTTTTTTTTTTGTTCTTTTTTTGCTTTTTAAAGCAATGAAATTTACATCTACTGGCCTAGATCATAGAATGTCTTATTAAGACTTTCCATGGCCCAGTCAGATAAATGTCAATTTTACTGTTTTAACAAAAAGACCAGGATGTCTAGCCAATATTATAAGTGGAAAATTACACAATATATTGTTCATTTAAATATATCCTGATTTCTTTTTTTAATAAAATCTGTTTGTTAATATTGATTTTATTGTGAAAAAAATATATTGCTTAATAGAATCTTACTTTTCTTAGGTCAGTTAAAATTTTACACACGGTCACATATCATAAGTACCAAACTTCTGGGAATGTCAGGGAAACATGTAAAACGTTTACATGTGTATATATCACTAAATGTGTATATGTGTGCCTTTAAATGAGTGATTTTGTGAGTGCATTAATATGTCTCCAGGGTTGTGTGAATGTCTGCTGTAAAGAGCGGTCTTTGAAGTCATATGAATGTGCAATGATCATGACCAAGGCAGAAAAAATGCAATTCACCCTAAAACATAATAAAACAAAAAGTATTGAAAGTGATAAAGAAAATGGAAATAAAGAAAAGAAAGAGAGAGAGAGAGAGAGAGAGAGAAATGAGTGACAATCAAACAGTTTAATGTTCTGTTATCTGTCGTCAGTCAAAAGAGAAGTTATAGATCGTTTGGAAACAATGGGAAATCATTTTCCATGGAAAAAGATGGGGAGAGAGAGGATGAGAGCGAACCAGCAGAAAGTTGAAACAGCAAAAACTCACCAATATGCATAAAGAATTATTTTTTCTCTATTAAACCAAAAAAGGAAAATGATATTTTTCATGAATAAAAGTAGTTTTAACAATGACACTGTTTCTTTTTGTTTCTCTAAAAACAGTGGAGGAAAAAAATAGATTTCATATAATGCTAACTTATTTGTTTGAAAAAAAAAAAAAAGAAGAAAGATATCAATATAAAAAATATCAACCTGAAGAATTAAAAGAAGAAATTATTATTTTTTTTTAATGTTTAAACATTTTTTTAAAACTAGAATTATTTGTTTACAACAAAGCATTTTTTAAAGAAAGTCTAAGGGATAAAATATCTTACAAAACAGGCTTTCTCTAAAAATTTCAGCAGATGGAGGACAATTCTCAAATTAATTAAAATAATTATCAATTTAATTAAAATAATAAAACATTTTAATAATTTGCTTCAATTCAATCAACTTTTTGGTTTAAGTGCATTGACAAAGAAGGAGAGTATGTTGAAAAATATTTAATCCTTAAAATAATTGCTTTTTTATCATCAGGCTACAAGCATATTTTTTAACACTTGAGTTTTATTTTTGCATTCAAAGAAAGTCTAAGATATGAAATATCTTGTAAAACAAGCTTTCTATAAAAAGTTTCAGCAGATAGAGGGCAATTCTTAAATTCTCTCTCTCTCTATATATATATATATATATATTGTAACTATTTACACTTTTTACATTGTTCAGTCTGTTGTCCTCATCTTTATTGCCATATCTACAATGTTTCAGCCATTGTACGCTCTGACTTTCTTCAGGTGTTATATGTTGAAATTTCAAACCAAATCCATTATTTAGTCCACAGGGATGAATTGTTTTAGTTCCAATTACAAAAATCTGTCCCCATTGATTAAATAAAGCGTTCGGTTCAAGATTCCAACATATATAATCTGAAGAAGGTCAGAGTGTACAATGGCTGAAATGTTGTGAATAGGCTAATAAAGATGGACAACAATCTGAAGAATATAAATATCATAAATAATTCTCAAATAAATTAAAATAGTTATTAATTTAATTAAAATGATAAAACTTTTTAATAATTTACTTCAATTCAATCACCTGACTGATGTTATTCCTTCTTATTTTATAAAATTATTCATTACCTTCCAAACGTTACTCCGGTAGAAAATACGAAGGTAGTGTAAACGGGAATCTGATGGCACAGTCAATATAAAAGACAATTTGAAAAACTTTTGTATCTGTCTATATTTCTGAAATACAAATAATGGATTTGGTTTGAAATTCCATTTACGATTCAGAGCAAATTTTTGGTAAATGGTATTTGACAAAAAAAAAATTGATGATTTAAATTCTCCAAGTACTCCTGCTTTTATCTAATATAAATATGAAAAGTGTGAAATTTTAATTTTTCGAAATTTCATAAAATTATGTAAGTGCATGTAACAGACGTAAAAAAAATATTTTTACCAAGATTTTCTAAAAGAAATTTAAAAAATAATTTCATTCATTTGTGAATAAGTCCTGAAAGTTTAATCAAAATCTGGCAATTATTTGATTTTTGCAAGCATTTCCAAAAGAATATGTTTTTAACACCAAAAAGGAGGTTAAAATTCTTTTTCTGTATGCCATGTCCATTCAGGACATGAGTGATCATGGTTCTCCACAACTTCTTATTCTTTTAGCTTTTAATAAATTTTGTCTAAATAATTGCAGTAATTTCTTCAATTATATTTTTGTTATAATGAAATTTAGCAATTCTTTTATACATGATGTTTTGTAACCATAAGAAGACCAGTAAATTAATTCATGGTCAGGAACAAACAGCTGTGAGTACTTAACAAAAAAATGTTAATTTCAGGAATCAAAAACAGTTGAAAAAGACCAAGCTAATCTTTTCCATGTTTTCTAACCAATTCTAGTCAAAGACTTATTTGAGTTTAGTGATTCCCATTTAAAGAATTATGACAAAAAAAAAAATGCTTCAATAGCAAAATAAATTGGTTTAAATTTAAATTTTATTATTTCATTTAGGCTTCAAAGACAACAAGAAAATAAGAAACAAGACAAATAGCTATATTATTATTCTACTTTCCATCTCAGATCAGAGTGTAATATCTGTCTGAAAACCCAACTCTTAATGGCCCATATAAGCTGGAATCAGTTAGACTTTAGAATAATCCTACAGGTTGACAAAGAAGCAGATTATGTTGAAAAATATTTGTTGTATAAAATAGATGCCTTTTTTCATCATTAGGCTACAGATTTAGTGATGTACCTGCATATGTGATTAATGGAGAAGCATTAGATTAAGTGCATTGACAAGGAAGGAGATTATGTTGACCAATAAAAAAATGTTGTAAATGTTCTTCTCATCATTAGGCTACAAACTTATCGATATATTTGCATGTTGTTTTTGTTTCTGATTCTATTAAGGACAGATTTTACAAGATTTAAATGTTGGGATTTGATTTCTAAGATTTGGTAAATGAATAATATGATTTATGGGCTAAGGTGTTATGGAACAGAGGTTGACTTCAGAATCAAACAAGAAATGATCCAGTCAAAAAGAAACTCTCCCAGGAAAACTTAAAGGAATTTGATAAAACGTGTATATATATATATATATATATATATATATATATATATATATATATATATATATATAAGAAAAATGATATATGAGAAAACAATATAATCATGAGAGTAATTTAAAGAATAGAAAATCAAGAAAAATCGAAGGCAAGAAAACAAAGAAAAAAATGAAGTAATAGAAAGATAAGGAAAGAAAAAATAGAATGAGAAGGGAATGCAAGAAAAAATATAGAAAAAGGAAACTAAGAAAAGAAAAAATGAAAAAAAAGAAAAGGTAAGAAAAGTAAATGAAAAGATAGAAAAAATAAGAGAAGGAAAGAAAACTGGGGGAAAGAAAAAGTTAAGAAGTAAATATTAAAAACAAAAAAAGGTTAAAAGAAGAACAATAAAAAAAAAATGATCAAATTGTCCAAAAAGTGGAAAGAAAACAAACAAAAAAATAAAAAATAGTAAATAAAAGAAAAATGGCATTGCCGAAAAAAAGTTAATTAAAAAATAAGAAACTAAAATAATTTGAACAAGGAAAATATAAATGAAAACTTACAAAAAAACCAAAAAGAAGCATTTTTTTAGAAAATTAAGAACAACAGAAAGAATTCAAAGAAAGTGGCTTTTCTCCCTCCTTGGTTATGACAGAAACAACATGAAAGTCAAGGAATGTCCAGAATTATTTGATCAACAGATTAGAACATTTGAAGGCTAAAGATGACAAACTATGGAAATCCACGGAAGCAGGTTTCAGAGGTCTGGCAAGGCATACAAGCAAATATACTTCATAGCTATGACAAATTCCGACAGAACAATGGTGGTTTGTAAGATGAGAAGAAAAGATACAAAGAATGAGTTACACAGTAGGGTATTATGGGATGGCTGATGCTGATATGAAAGAATTAAACTAAAATATTTGTCAAGTGGCAGTGGAGAAGGAGGGCTTTGAACTTTGCCAACATGTTTCATAAAAGAAATTAATTTTCCAGCTCCTAACAACTGTTTTTTTTTTTTTCTCTGATCGGCTGTGATCTGAGATTATCATTTTTTTGAAAGGACTTTTCTTGGAATGAATGTTCAATCCCTTGTCCTCACATTTGTTATATTCCTTTTTTTTTTCAATCTTTTGTAAATTTTATTAACATTCCTGAAGGCCGTGTTTACATCAGGGTGCCGGCCACTCTTTACAAATTCAGAAATTAGGTTTCATGAAACAAAAACAACCATCATTTATTAGCCTCTAATAACATCCATTAAAGAAATGACATTTATTCTAGCACGGTTCATAGTTCTAAATAAATGTTAGATAGAATCCTTTGAAAAGTATTTTAATTTAGATAAAACTGTTATGATTTATTGCTGTACCTCTGTTTTCTTCAAGACTCAAGACAGGCAAAAAGAAAACACAAAAATAAAAACATATTTTAAGAATCTTAGAATTTATTTGGTTTTTCTTCTTCTTTATGCACTGTTCCCCCTCAGTACATAGGTAATCAAGGCTCTCAACATCTTCCTTGTAGCTCTTAATAAATTTGGTCTTTCTGATATTTTTCCTAAACCCTGTCCCTCCATCCATTAAGTATGTTATGCACTGTTTTCCTGTCCCTTAATCCATCCTGTGAGCATCAGATTTTCCAAACCTTCCTTCCTCATTATGTGCCCCAGAAATTTCAACTGTCTTCTTGATGTTAAGTATAAGTTTCATTTTTGTTTCCAATTTCTTTAAAACTTTCTTGTTCCTCACATGTTCGATTCATGGTATCCTCAGCATCCTTCTGTAGAACCATATTTCTGCTGCTTCAAGTCTTTTCTTCATTTTTGAAGAGATTGCCATATACGAGGACATATTTCAGGTATACTCCACATGTTGAGTCCAACCAGCTTTAAATAGCTTTAATATCACTTTTGCACAGTATGTAACATTTCTATTTGTAAATCTTTACACAGTACAGTAGTTGAGTGAACAGTAAATATAATAAACAAATTCAAAAATCTATATTTTGTACATGACTTAAATAATACAGCCACTCACTGAAAGATGTCAGTGAGTTGAGTTTTTTTCCTTATATTCCCTAACACTTAGTAACTGTAGCAATATAAGTCAAACTGAGGTTTTGTTAAACTTAAAACAACAGGACCTGTTGCACAACTCAATATGGAACATTTACTTTCGACCAATTGCTATCAATAATTGGAGTCAACCTCAAAGTACAAGAGCAAGAGGCTCAGTCTGAGAGAAAGTGATGGAAAGAAGATTAATTCTTTTTTAGATGAAGATGACAGGACAAAGAAAACTGATGTCTATAAAACTGACCATTCCATGAAAAGTTGTCAGTGAATAAAATATTTTGAAACAGTCATTCCTCACTTAATGACATAATCGCTAAATGAGTTGGTCATTAAATAAGAAGTTATACCTGAGCGCTATTTCAGGTATTCTGCACCTGTAATTGGTTTGTGTGAACCAGCTTCAGATAGCTTTAATGTCACTTTTGCACCATTTGTAGCATTTCTGATTTATTTCTAAATCTTTATACAGTACAGTAGTTGACTGAACAGTAAACATGATAAACAAATTCAAAAATCTATATTCTGTACATGACTTTGGTTTGCATTCTGTAAATACATTACAAGTAAATTTTTATTTATTCTATTTATCTTGATTTATTTTGAAGAGAGAGAGAAACAACAATCAGGACCAAATTTCATAAAACATACAATAATGGTTGGATTTTTTGATGAGATTTTAGAGCTTGTCCTGTGCCTTTTTTATAATACTTTCATGGTACTTGTTATTACAAACTTTCCTCTATGGTAACTATACTTTACAAATTTAAGCACATTACTAGATTGGTGGCAAGGTCTCATCAATTTACAGTTGAATTGGCTAGATGTAACTGTAAGTTCTATGCTAACAGTTTCTATCACACTTCTCACTTGTGGAACTCTCTTCAGGCTTCTTGCTCCTGAGTCAACTTTGATCTTCAAAAATTTAAATATAATGTCAACCATTATCTACTGTCTTCTTAATTGTACTTTTTATTGTTCTTGCTCCTTAATAGTGTTTTTTCTTATATTCTTTCACATTCAGTAACCCCCTTGCATCTCAGTGGCTTTATTACCTTGCTTGGGATGAAATGATTAAACAGCTAAGTCATTAAATGAAGAGTGTATTGTTTTAAACACTAAAGAGCTCAAAACATCAAAACAAAAAATGCCATAAATCATTAAAAAAATCATTTAAACCATTAAAAGAAAAAAAAAGGTTTACTGTTATTTAGTTTGGTTCAAAACTTCAAAATTTAGTTTTCATAACTAGGTCTTTTCATCATCATAATAGGTGAAAAAAATAGAATGAAAAATGAAGACACAAACAAGATATGGTATTTGAACCAGATATATTAAAAATTAGTATATATTGTTCTAAATAAAAAAAAAGCTCAAAATAACAAGCTGTTTTGCTTCCTAGGCCTAAGATAAAGTACTTCACATTTTGTTGAAACATCCAACTTGTCAGAAAACATTTACCAGATTACCTAATTACCTGAAATACTCATTAAGAGATTTGTTGTAACGTTGACTTTGTTCAAAATAGCTGAGAATTAGAAAGGCCATAGTTAGAGTGAGTATCAAAGGAACAGAAGACTAGGTAGGAAAAATAAAGAAGTTTATTAAATACTCAAACATGAACAAGAAGAAACTTGAATAAATCAACCACTCTTTAAATCTTACTCTAATGGCTACTTGGCATATTTTTAAGTCAGAGCAATCCATTTTCACATTAGTAGGGAAGAGCAGGAAGTATACTAAATCCTACACCACAACATAATTACTAACATTAATTGCATTAAGCACCCTTATGGGTCAAGCGCATTGCACATTTGAAATCCATATTCTTGTCAAAAATAATGTTCTAATAAATTAAACTATGCATGCCTATTGAAATATATTTACATATGGCTTTTGTGTGTGTGCGCACACACACACACATTATATATATATATATATATATATATATATATATATATATATATAAAGTTATGATATAGATATATATATATATATATATATATATATATATATATATATCATAACTTTGGTATGTAAGATGCAAGCAGATTTGACCTTCAAAAATTTAAATACAATGTCAACCATTATCTACTGTCTTCTTAATTGTACTTTTTATTGTTCTTGCTCCTTAATAGTGTTTTTTCTTATATTCTTTCACATTCAGTAACCCCTTGCATCTCGGTGGCTTTATAAATTTGGTATGTAAGATGCAAGCAGATTTGACTTTAAATTTGAGAGTGAAATGAAAGGTGTACTTTATACACAGAAAAATAGTCACTCTGCCCCACATACTAACAGAAATGAAGGGTGATTTTTTTTTAGTTAAAAAAAAAAAAACAGTGACAAAATTGTTTGGCTTTTTGAAACATTATCTTTTCCTTGACCCATTCTATTTTCTTTGAGCCATTAACAACAGATGACAGGAATTCCCATCACTGTTGATCGATGGTTCAGCTGTGAAATTTCTTCTGCAGTTAATGTCCAGATAGTCATCAGGTCAACCTAAATAGGTCAAATGATATCTTGAATAAATATTTTCTGGAGAAAAGTATTTAGCTTTGTTCTAAACATATTTATTCAAGATCTCATTCGATCAAAGAAATTATAATTCATAATTAATAAAGTGGGATGCAAAAATGTGATCTTCAAAGTCATATTTTCTAAAAACTGGCTGAACATTAATTTTAAATTGAAATTCCTTAACAAAATTAAATGATTATGCATACGCATAAAATCTTAAAAGAAATACCACCTTCAAAGAAGAAAAAAAATTTCTTTGAAATGTTTATTTTAAATAACTGCTACCTTTAAACATTTTTAGAAAAAAATTTCTTTGAAATGTTTATTTTAAATAACTTTCACAGTAACTACCTTTAAACATTTTTAGTTCAATACCAAAATTTCTCATAGGTTATGTTAAAAACTCCAATAGATTCACTAAATTCTCGCCTTGGAACTCCCTTCCATTTCTTGCTTTTCCTGATAGCTATAATTCCAACTATTCAAATGTCACGTCAATCGATTTTGATATATCTCCTAACCTTCTCTTCAAATCTATCAATCCTCTTTGTTCTTTCTAACTGTAACCCTTTGATGCTAGCTTCCCACCTTGCTTGGGGTTGAGTGGAAAAAAAAAAAAAAAAAAAAAAAAAATGGTTAAAAATGTTCAAATTTTTTTTAAGCTTTTGTCACATCAATTTATCCCCACCAGCTGACAGGCTTTTGAGCCATCCATATCTCATTTGAGCCCTCATCTTCCCTTTTCACTGTTAAAACTGTTGAAAAATTGTGAAAAACTGTCTCTTCCACCCCAAAACTATCCAATAGCCTCTTTTCATGTCTAAATAACTTTTCTTTAAACTTTTTTTAGATACCCTGTGGAACTGAGACAGAACCTTCCCATTTCTTGCTTTCCTGCCAAAAAATAGCTATAATCTCCAACTATTCAAATGTAACGTCAATCGATGTCTCCAGATGCCCAAGTTTGATATATCTCCTAACCTTCTC